GATTGAATGGTAATTTATAATCAGTCACAAGAACGTCGAATCTGAATCACTTGAAAAAAACACGGGGGTGCTTAACTTTTTTCCAGGTGTATATATTGATATCTCAGAAATCAAGAAGGTGGGAGATTCTTATTTTATATTCTACTAAGTAAATATGTGAAATTTTGAGTTTTTAATGCAATTTTTTTCCCCAAAGTGTACATGAAGAAAATAAACTTTTGTTTAATTATTTGTGTAACTCCAACAAATTACTGTGCTTTTATTTCTTAAACATTTGAGACTACTGTCAATTTTTAAGTATTCAAATAATTTAATTTCAGAAGAGTAATGAACAGGTAAAAAAAGTGGCAAATAAGTTTTAAAAAATATTGACAAATTAGGGCATTTATGAAATTTTTCAAAGTGGTATGAAGATTGAAAAAGATAAACTGATAAACATTGAAAAAATATAAAATTTAGATTCTGAAGTTTAAATTGTTTTAGAGAAGTTGAACAAAAATTAAATTAAAAAACTAAGAATTAATAACAGTCTCCTTTTATACATATAAGACTTATTTAAATTTCAATGAATGAAATTTTTGACAAAGTTTGATTCTTAATTTTTGAATTCTGTTTTTCAGAACTTCCAGCACTTTCTTTTTTATATACAAGATATGACATACAAACAATAAGAGATAACTTAGCACCTCAGTTAATGCTGTTTTTTCATACCCACCCTTGAAAAAGTAAGAATTTAAACCCTCCATTTATTTTTCAGAAAAAATCATCAATTCCATTCTTGAACTTGTAAAATGCCAGCCTCTGCTACAGCTGATTATAATGCATTGTGTAAGAGAATCATCTTGTTAGAAAAATAAAGTTGTTTTAACCTTATTTGCACAGGTGAAAGTCAAAGTTAGCATATCGTGACTTTCTACAGTTAGATTAAAATTTAAATAAACAACTTTATTATCAATGTCTATCAATAAATGGCATCAAAATTTAGTTTATAATATTAACCTTAATATTATAAAACTTTTACTTTCTTAACTTCAAAAGGAAATATCTAAATAAATTCTCGATCTTCACTTGTTTTTATCAAGTGACATTTTACATTTTCTTTCTACTCCTATAAGATCTTCTAAGATTCTCATGAATTACACACTTATACTATAGGTATTCCCAAGCTGAAATATAAATTTATATCATCCAAGTTTCTTGCTTTATAGAGATGTGAACAAATAAGTAAACACCCACATACCACCTCTTGTATCACATCCTGTCTTTCCAAAAATGTCATTAATTTTCTCATACATGTGCTGTTGGGTTATTTATACTCAACGGAAAGAGAAGATTCTACTTTCTTTATTTTTTATGAGGCTAGACTGTTTAGTCAACAGATTTTGAGAAGTTTGACCTTGGTTTCTTTGTTCACCATTGTCTAAGTTCAACTCAATAAGCTAATGGAATGTTTTAATGTTTTAACCAATTTATAGCTTGGTAAAATAAGCCAATTAAATTGTAGTAGTTATATGGCATTCTATTTTTTGTGCTTGACAACATTTTGTATTACAAGTTGCACATTTCAATTAAAAAAAAAACTTTTTTTAGATAACGTTAGCATTACAAAAACGGCTTT